AACGCTTTATCGTGGAAAGTACGGAATTTTCGCACGAGTTTATTTTGAATCTGAAATCTCACGACTCGTTCGCTACGCTTACTCGTTCGACATCAGATTTATGATTAACTCTTATGCCCGTACTTTCCATGACGAAATCTATACATATTTTAAATGTGCTTTTACTTATATCAAAATTCAGCTTCAGGATGGACATTTTTGTGTGGTGGTGCGTTGGTATCTCAACAATGGGTTCTTACCGCTGCCCATTGCTTTTACATTAAAAGAAATATTACCACAAACAGTACATGGTCTGAAGATATAAAACCACTCACAAAGTAAGTATTTAAACAGGTAAACGTGTGTGCAACGGGTACAGTCAATCTGCACAATTTTGAACAAAAAGAGTTTGGAATGTTTTGTAAAATCGGTAAATTATTGCTAAAGTCGGTGAGAGAATTTGAATTCCTTTTTCAGTAATACTTTCGCTGAAGGTTTGTTCAGAAGACCACACACAGTTTTTGGAGATAGGAGAGGGTGCAATGAGGTTTTACTCAACACATCTCTATCATTTTGTGCAAAGTTGCAGATCATCTCTTTCTGAGTTTTAACACCGAACACCATTACACACCAAGGGCCGGACAGTGCAATAATCACCAGGGATTGTAGGGTAAAAAAACCATGCCATATGCCATAAATAAAGCATAAGACTGCATCTCCCCTCTCTTTTCCTTCAAAGTTGGAAGCCAGCTCATGAAAAGTGCTCTAAAACAGGTTATTTGTCTCAGATACAAAATTATAGTTGGTGACCACGAATTAAGAAGCTATGAATCAACAGAACAAGAGTTAAATTTCAAAGAAATAGTATTACATCCCGACTACAGACATTATCCTATATTTGAGAACGATATTGCATTAGTCAAACTGAGCCGTGAAGTCATTCTCGGGCCATTTGTTCGTACTCTTTTTCTACCTGATCTTGCCCGAGACCTCGCCAAACCAGGAACAGTAAGAATGGTCGCTGGATGGGGAACAACTGAAGCTGGTTATGCTTCTTCCTTTCTTCGCTTCTCTTCGTTTCTAATCAAATCAAACGATGTCTGTGGAAAAGCAGTAACATTCTATTACAACAAGACAGTAGCATTTTGTGCAAGCGATCTCAAAGGAGGCAGTGCCCCGTGTAATGGTGACAGTGGAGGGAGTATGGTGCGAAAGGTATTTCTACATGGAAAGTATCGATTTGTAACAATTGGTTTGGTCAGTTGGGGTGGATGTTTGCTAGGCAATCATGTTGGATACTACACGAGATTACAACCATTTTTACCGTGGATATATCATAAAATCAGTAAGTACATGATGATTAAGAATAGAAGGCACGTAATGTGTCTCAATGATCTCCACAACAGATTGACAAATTCATTTTAAAATGAATTCATTTCTTTATCTTTGATAAAGGACTCTGAAGCTTGTATCAAATCATCAAGTGTAGAACGGGTTTCTCAATGTAACGTAAGCCATAGTCGAATTATACGCTCATAAATCTTTAATTTTGTTTTTCCGCTGTCTTTTTTCATATATATATTATCCTGTTATTATCCCGCTTTTTCTATTTTAACGGAAAGCCGTTATGATATAGGATAGTACATTGGGGCACGTAGAAACGGATTGTATTTTCTACTGTTTCATTGATATCTCACGAATAAGCGAACTTTTCGCCCTGTGTAAGAGAATCCGGAATCCGGAATCCACTAAAAAAACAGCTTTGGAATCCGGAATCCCTATCATGGAATCCGGAATCCAAATATTTGGAATCAATAATCTGGAATCCAGCAAAAAATTGATATCTAAAAAACACATAGGACATCGTCCCGCTGACGCCCCTGCGCAGGCTACTGAAACGCTGAATATAACATTTTCAGGAAAAAACCCTTGAAAATCAGGCCATTTATTATACAGAATCCAAAACAAAAATTCTTTGGAATCCGGATTCCCAAGGCTTGAAATCCGGAATCCAATGTTTCGGAATCCGGAATCCAGCGCTTGGAATCCGGAATCCTCTAGTTCTCTGGATTCTCTTACATGGGGCGAAACTTTTCATATTTTTCGAACTCACAATGTCTGAGAAAAATATCGTCACACATAGTGACACTTTAAACTCGCTCGTTCCTCACTCGTTCGTTGTATGATGCAAACAACTCGTGAATAAAATCCCGTACGCCGCACTTTCCATGAAATAAACTCTATATCATAACGTGATAGAAAATTGAGTGTGCGCAGTTCTTTGTGTAGGTTGATAAGCTTTCTCGTCGTCTTGTTCACCACTAGTAACTAAGAAGATTATATACATGTTCTGTTAACTTCTTTTGAAGCTTTTGTTGGTTTATTACTGATCCGTCAAACACCACTGTACATTTTGTAGTTGCCTTGTCCGCGCGTATAATTTGATTATGTGGCAGGTTAAAGACAGGTTGTTTATCGTTCTCAATCAATCGTCTTTCAAAACCATTTTTAAAGAACTTTTGCTTTACTTCTTTTCTTAATTTTCTTTTAGTGTTAGTTTTTCGACGCAAAGCATTCTTCTTAAAGATTTACAACCTATAAATTGCGCGAATTTTTCCAGTGATGGTTTGTTTCCACCTGTTGGCATTAGGTTATTAAGCTAGAACTCATGCTCTAGCCCCTTTTCAATTCAACACAGAAACGTATTTGACGATTGATTTCTTTATTCTCAGAAAGTAGTGGATACTCCGAATGGTCCAGTTGGTCTCAGTGCACCAAGACTTGCGGAGTAGGGACACAGAATCGCACTCGCTACTGCAAAAATTCCACATCTATGGAAAAGCGTTGCGAGGGATCAGCTTCACAATCTAAACGATGCAACATACAGATGTGCCGAGGTAATGACTACATTTCCTTTTCATTGCATTTTGCATATACACTAGAAATCAGGAACAAAAATATGTTTTTCATATTCGAGGCACTTTATTTCTTTCCTTTACGT